TCAGATTACTGAGCCATTACTACAGCTTAACTACAAGAAAGCAGTGGAACTGAACTTACTTCAAAGGGATGCAGTTGTAAACTGTCATCCCTAAGCAGTGTGAAAATATAAAAAAATAGTTTTGCATATATGTCAGTGCTCTCAATTTCAAGGTCGAGACAAATGAGGGGGAAGCTGCATAAAGAGGGAAGAGGAGGATAAGAGGATGGCGAGGAAGAGGGAAAAAAACGAAAGACCTAGGATTTACATAAGTGAAGACTGTGGATATAGCTAAGGATTTACAGACACACACGGGATATTCTAATACAAGTACACACACCCACAAACTCTAACAAAGACTCAAAGAACTGAATGCGAGCAACGAGGGGTGCGAGGCCTCGCCACTGCAGACGGCTCATCTGTCGTCCTTGAGATAAGAGAGGGATTCAGGCACGATGGGTTCAGACTGTTTCTGTCTGCAGGCTGAGCATGCGAGACGCAAGTTGTTGCATAAAAGCTTCGAATGAAACAACAGGCATTATGCAGAATTACATATTCAAAGATTTTCTTGCAGTTTAGATCTGACCATGTTAGATGGATGTCATGCAGTCAATGTAAAATGTATGTTATTATATGTACGCATTAAAATATCTATGAAAAATAGCACATATTTCTTTCATCTTTCTTCCATGACTGAGACCATAACACGCCGGTGCGTTCAGGAAGCGTTAATGTGCCACATAAACCGACTGCAAGTTCAAAAACTGGAGATTTAAAAAAGATCAGAACATTTCTAATTTATTAGCAGCTAGTTGAAAATTTTATTAGATTATCGAAATGCCCAAATATTACCTGATGGTTTTATAGCGGCTTGATGATTTTATGGTTTTAGTGCGCTTGTGCAAGAGTGCGTCCATGTGGCGGCAACACGTCAGGAAAGCGTTACAAGCGTAACTTTTTTAGCATCAATGTGAAAATATATGATTTTGTAAAGCAACTCTAATTTTGTTGCTAAAAATAAAATTATATGCAAATAGTACAGGATTTATTACATGTTCATATGCATACAATGAGCTTTGTTCCATGGGACACCTTCAGCTTGTAGGAACCACGGGGACCACAGCCAAAATGCGGGACACCAAAAATCACGTTGGATCGGAAGTTTAGCTCTTTAATCGAGGCTGTGTTGATGCGCATGTTTCAAGGAAAGAAAAAGGCGCTCGCATGAACAGGTAAAATACACAATACTGTATAAAGAGAGGGAGAGCTGGTGTGGAGAATTCATCATGTGAGAGTGATGACGGTGGATGAAAAAGAAGTGAAATTGTCATTGCTCAGTAACCAAGAAAAATAACAGACAAAATAAGCAGTTATTATCAGAAACCCAAAACAATGACACAGCTTTAGTAAAGAAGACAGTACACACATTTCTACTATCTGTACTTTATTTTATATATTCAGAGACGTCTCCTGTTTGTTCCCATTGCATTTAAGCTTTGAGAAAGAATACCAGGATAGCACATTTATCACATGTATTCTCTTTATTCTGAGACAATCCAGCTGTTGTTCATGATGGGAGTGGATATTTGTTGCAACCCAAACCCAAATGCAACAACATAGGTCATTTGTCAAAGTATGGTAATTGTGTTCCCACTGGAATCCAAAGTCCGCTCTGTTCCCACAATGCTATTTTTGTAGTTTGGATGCAGACTGTCCCAAAAAGTCACATTTCAACTGCATTTTAGGGGATTTTGAACTTCTCCATACAGCTAATTACAGTCGTGCCTATGGTCTGTGTCTATAACAAACAGATGGAAGTTGAATTAAATGGCTGGTGATGTATTACCGTTGCAGCAAAAGGCCAGGAGAGTGTCCCAAAAGACAGAAATGATGAGGAGTCAGTATCCCTTTAAAAACAGGAGGGTGGCTAAACGGATCATAAAATGGGTTTGGCTTGAGGACAGCAGCATACAATACAGCACAGTGATGACAGATGGTCTGTGAAAAAGCTGGGATGTCTGCTGCCAGGCTGTGAAGTGGCAACTGCCCGTGATATGCTGAATATAGTAACCGAAAAGAGAAAATGCTGATGGGTCGATGTGAAAATGTGAAATTACCAACACTGTGTTTTTAGAGACATTTTTACAAATGTACATTTTTAAGACTTGAGAGGAAATTTACCGAATATCTTGTTGCAAGCGACAACAAATAAAATGAAAGTTGCAAAAATTATTTGCAAATGCAAATGTTTTCACATAACTGAAAATAAAAACAGAGGAAACAGGTCAACGTTTTATCTGGACGTCGTTCTGTGGCAGGACGCTAGCTGGAAATTGATGCTGGCATATGGCGCCATCTAGTGGACAAACATGGCTGGTACAGCTATGATTACAGTGTAATCTTTAGTGACATTTAGACGAATATAAGTAAATATTTTGTGTCATACGATCTGACAGATGGAAACACATATTTATTTATTCTTGTATGGCTGAATTTTGTGCAGGAAACTTTCCAGTTCATGGTGACAGATTTGTCAGCATGCTGTTAGTGCTGTAAGTATACAAGATCCCAAAGGTAGTCTTCTCAGTTCAAATCTGATTACTGCCATCGAAACGTGAAGTAGTACTGGAATGGCGGTCACAACACGGTACACGAAACTTGATTGTGCCCCAAAGAGTTTGAATGGAATAATCCCCACAGCGTGAAAACACCACCAGCAACCAGTGCTGTCTGCTGATATCAGAGCCAAACTCCACCACCTGCAGCCTCAGTCAAAGTAATACACTCATGCATTAAACACTCCTGTATCAAATGTTATGTTGACTCTTTGATCACTTCGGGCTCAGATTGTGAATTCGAAGAGTCATTTCTTCTCGCTACAGCTGTAATGAGCAGTTTTCTGACCTTCTATTGGCCATTTTCGTGGCTTCTCTTGTCAATGAGGCGTTCCTTATAGAGAGCTGCTGATCTATTAGTTCTCAAATATAATATATTATGTTGAGACTTCTTTCATCTGACCATCTTGTGATATGCCGCTGCGCTCTGTGTACCGCTTGGTGGTGTTAGAAAACAGCTGTTTTCTATGATCATTTTCAAAACATTATAAATACAATTCAAAAATATCTACTGACACAAACTCTTCTTTTCATAGCAGGAAGACAACAAATCCTTGTTCAAATCAAAGATGGCTCTTTTAAACATATGAGGAATCTACCACTATTGAGGCTCACACATTTCATGGACACCTTTGTGTGATAGTACACAGAGACCTCATTGCCTTGTTATCCATGGAAAAAGACTCACGTAGCTATTTTACTTTGGTAATAGCAGGAATCCCCCTGGACAAAGAAAAAAACTCCAATGCAAGCCAAAGTCCTGCATGTTTTCTTCCATTTATCCAGTTTGGCAATCCAGGGCCCTGTAGCCTATCACAGCTGCCACAGGGCAGGCGGCAAAGTTCACCATGGACATAGAGAAGGACAACCATTCACATGCATGAGCCATTTATAATCACCTGTTAACCTAAAAAGCTGTGGGAGCAAGCCAAATCCCTGTTTTAAATCCCCGAGTCACCAGTAACAGGTACAGCACTGCATAACTGTGATATTAAAATTCCAAGAATTACATCTTGCAGCAATGCTTTTTTTTACTGTTTTCCAGATATTTATCTGTGTTGCTCAAAATGGTAACATGAAAGGTCAGTATTACTTCACGTGCGATGCTACTGGGAGAGATAAGAAGTCACTTGGTGCACAGTTCATAATATACTGCAGTCGCAACCACTGGACAGTCTCTTTCCCTGTCATGTGATGGATGTCGTCAGTCCTCAGGCATGTCTGGCAATCCTGTTTCTGTTCTTTGCCATTGCAAAGAATTATCTGTTTTATTCCTAATAATCTAAAAGGCCAAATTTGTCTTAACACTAAACATCTACCTCTGAGTCACTCACTGAGTACAGCAAGAAAGCAAATTATTTGGGGTCCTGTACAGCCCAGAATAACATTTTTTATTGAATGTGAAAGAATCGTATGTTTGTTCAAGTTCTAGAGCTGTGGTTCTTGGAGATCTTACAGAGGTCATAGCTCTCCTACCAGCTTCAGCACAGCCTGCGTCTGCATTCCTCTGCAGCAACACGACCGCCACATCTCTGCCACTGAAACACATTCGACTGCACTAACATGACGCATGCCAGAACTTTGTGCTGTGCTCAGGCGTTGGCATCAATTTGAACTCCTACATGGAACAAATTGGGACTAAAATAGCGCTACAACAAATAAGTGATATTTTACACGGTTGTATTTTTGGTTAGTGTTCCTCAGGCTTGTGCAGAAGATGAACGGTGCCGGGCACTGAACAAAGTGCCTCTTTGTGGTTTCTGCAGATGTTTTCAGTGCGGACTTCAGGCTGTACACATTATACAGTTAGAAATAATCACATAGCCGAGTTTCATGTTCATGGAGTGTGAACTTTTCACATTTCTCATACTGAAGAACGGAGACCAAGCTGGTTGTTCAGTGCTCATCCTGGCACCGTCACATATGCTCCAGCTGAGGTACACCAACTGTTGGTGGCAAATTCATAGCTCATGACTTTATAAAATACATGTATGTAAGCACATTCTTTCTAGAGACAGTTGGATGAACAAATAACTCTTCATTTAACAGCAAGTGACAACAACTTTGTTACATGACAAGTTGTTTCTAAGGCTGAAGAGCCTGTGAACACTGTGCATACTGGAAATCAGCATATGCTTTTCTGGTTGCAGCTAAATCATGACATGAATTGCAAAGGTTACACTAAATACAGATGAGAATTTTACATTTGATACGAAGCTTTTCTGTGACATTTCAGTGAGAACATATTTGAACAAAGAAAATCGCTGCTGCATCCATGAAGAGGACACATCAAAGTTGTCCACATGTACAAGAAATAGGGGAGACCAGAAAAATGGTGCAAAAGTAAGAGGGTGCCTTTGAACCTAATGATAACCAGATGGAAGCATTGTAATCCTGCTCATGAGAGCAAAAGAGAGAGAGGAGGTGGAGAGAAAACACAGTTCTGAAGGCAGACCGAATCCGAGAACACGAGTGATGAATAAAGCGTGCCGTCTGATGCTGTGTGTGGCTCCAAATGCTCAGTAAATTTAGAGACCTCTGTGCAGTTTTGCAACCAACATCAGGCAACCATGCTGCCCTGGAAGATGCTTATAGTTGCTCTTTTCTGCTGCTGCATCGAGGCAGGTGCCACACAACATCGGGCTAATGGTAAGACTCAAAATGCATGTATGTAAGTTTGCTACAGAAAAGCAAACAGTTCAGTTTCTGCAAATACTTTTTGAGGATTGGGAATCTTTGCTGAACACAGAGTGATCCTCGTTCCTCACCTGTTCTGTAATCCAGCACCTAATATGTGAGTTAAATAGTTTTAAATGTCTATTTTTAGTCAAAGCATGTTTTAATGTTGGCGGCTGCTCTGGGATCACAGATCAGCTGCACCTGTTTCTAATGGGAAACAGTGGCTTTAGCTGTAAACTAATCTGAGAGAAGGAGGAAACACTGTGAATAATAAAAAGCTTAAAGCAAAGATGATCAGATCAGCTTGTGACAGATGATTCTTTCTGCCTGTGGAGTTTGAGTGTTTTTGTAAATCTTGATTTCATTGCAATTCAAAAAAAAGCACGCCACTCTAGGAAAGCGATTAAAAAGCAGAGATGAGTGTGGGTCACTGACATGAAGGCAAGGATGAAAGCAAGTAGGGATGAGAAGCTGCAATCATCAGGATTAGATTTATTGGGCTCTTTTTTAAGATCAGCTGATAAACATGAGCACCATGTGCACTTTAGTGTTATGATGTTACACCGCTTTGGGCATTTATCCCAGTGTTTCAAACAACTTCCTCCCGCTGCGATGTGAAGCTGCCAAAGAAATAAAGTTGGTCATCGAGATTTAAGACTGCAGTTAAAGTCCAGGATCTTTTTTGGAGTTAAAGTCTTACATAGATGAATAACTTACCATGGCGCAGCACCAGTAAAAACCATGCAAGTGGAACCTCATCCAACCTCACGTGCTTGAAAAAATGCTAATTTTAATATTTGCTTATATAATATAATATATATATATAATTCTATCATTTAATATATGCTATTTAATAACTAGGAACATGTATGTACATGAAAACATTTCATGTAAAACTGTGCAATAAGAGAGAAGGAAGAGAAAACAGTGTTTGCTGTGATATCTTCTATCAGCAGAACATAAAAGTGAAAACAGGTTTGGATGTGCTGGCGTTTAATTACTATTTTATGCAGCTAATTATGAATTATGTCCTGACATAATCGTAATTACCTAAACATGTAACTCAGAGTAATATGTTTCATGAAAATGTTTAATCGCTGTGAATTGGAGAAGTTACTAAAAAGGAAACGCTATCCTGTTCAATAATGCAAGCTCTCGCCGGCCTTATTGAACTGAGATTAATGGAGATCGTTAGCTTAACATAATGACCGACTTGCTCGGTTGATTTAAAGTCTATTAAAATATCATCTCGTTTCATCTGCTGAAATAAACACATGCTGTGAACGTGCTGGCACTGGGTAAGTGGCTCTGGCGTATCAATAGCAATGAATTTCTTAATGTGCTTCCTTTTTTATTTTTTGAACTGAATCACTATTCTGCCGATATTACTGCATGCCGGAGCAGTTTGCTGTCTGTCTTTTTGCACGGTTCCCTCCTGTTTTCATGCTTTTAGGAAAAGAAATTCTGTCACCTGGACCTCGGAATTGCAGAAACTCCACTTTTAGGCATTAATAAAACCACGCCATTATTGGATGTGAGAGACTGGACAATGTGTGAAAACTGTAACTTTGTTCCTTTTAAACATGTTAGTTCCATCACTGTCAGCTCACTGGGTCCACCGCTTTGGCCATGTAATCTAGATTGATAGAAATATTGTGCAGTCATTCATGCTCTTCAGTGTTTTAATCCAGTGACCTCCTGGACTTTTCATGTTGTTTTCTGTTTTTCATGAGATTTTCACATCACCCTACAACGCAGGCTCTTGAACTCTGGTGGTTTTACACACTGACATGTGGCACCAACACCTGGACAGAGTTTTGTCAGATACCTAATGTTTCCATTAGACTCGCTGAGTTTAATCCTAATTAGTGAGCCTTTTCTGAGGGAAAGCAGTTAAAAGTAAGGCAAAGGAACAATTCTGCTTTTGTAAAATTCATATTCAAGTTAAAAAACGAGAGCTTCTGAATTGCATTTGACCCATCAACTTGTTTTTAACATCCTGGCTTAAATCATAAGCATAAGGAATCCCATATACAGCTCTGTACAATCATCTGGAACTTGTTGTACAATCCATGTGCCACTCCACCTTTGATTTCTATGTTTCCTTTGAAGTTTGAGGTCATGTCTCATTGTCTGCTGATAGGATTCATAAGAAAGGTTACAGATCACAGACTTTAAAACACCTATTATAGATTACCTGCTGCTGTGAGCTGGATGAACCTGGATTTCACATCTGTCACAGGCTTCACCTCACAGTAAAATCTGCATTTCATTGTACCATGCAGGGATTATTGCTTACTTGTCACAGGGATTTCCAGCTGAAAAGATTTAAACTGTCTTTTGGATGCATAGAAATAATCCAGATGTGAAACTGCGCATGCTTTCATAACACCCTTGATTCTCATTGTCTGTGTCTCTTGGTGCACCAGCCTTATTTCCAGCTGCAAGTAGTATAAAAAGAGGAGTGACAGCTGCGGTGAACCCCACTTTCATCAGCTCCATCAGTGATGCTCACCTGCTGTTTGAGGTAAAAGAACAAACCTTTGAGTTTTTATGAGTAAAAAGCAAACACTGACAATGTAACTATTAACAGTTACAGTACTTCTTTTCTTGTCACTAAATACAGATACTGATGTCTGGCATACAGTTTGAATCCAGTGGAGCGTTTTCGGTCACAGATGCTGAACTAGCTTCCCTTCAAAAGACAAGAAACCTGGATTTCATCTGCGAAGAGATCATTCCGAAAAAGCTAACAGACATATTGAGGCTCATATCCGGTCTTTCAAATCATACTGGCTACCTGCATCAGCACGATTTTGAGCGCACTGTCTTGACTTTGGTGTACACTGCCCATCAGATGGTCAGCTCCGCTACTGAATACCAAAGAGACGTGTGGGCAGAGTCCTTTGTAAGCCTATACAAATCCATCAAGAAGGATCTGATACTGAGAAACTGAGTAAGCAGTGGTGCTGTGACACAATGACTCACTGTTTAATATGCACACAGATGAAAAGCTGAAGTGTTGGAGCTTGCAGCTGGATGGCTGACAGATCCTGATGGAAATGTCCTGTCAGTAAACGTCAGCATGAATTCATAAAGTGCACAGAAAGAAAATAAACACAATCATTGTAAAATATTAACTGTTACAGCAAATGTTCATGCAAACATGAGGTACTGTATATGAAACAAATTCATATCTTGAATGTAGCATTAAACATTGTGGATTTAATCATGTTCCTGTCATTTCAGTGTTTGTTCACTAGCACCCAGATGTGACGGCATTTCGAGACTAATATGAAAGAATAAAACATCAAGTTTTGAACCAATGAGAACTGCAGGTCTGGATTCAGATGACTGCTCAGGTTTTTTAAAGATATACATCATCAACAATTATCATATCACCAGTTTACAAAAAAGTCTATCTATACTACCTTCCCAGTCAAAGATGAGCCACAACATTAAAACCACTTCTCACGCTGTGGTAAAACAGTCTCCTCCTTAAAGGAAAGTGTTACTCGTCTACAACAATGTTTAGTTGGTTGAAACGAGCGAAAGTCGCTTCCCCATGAATGCCAGGAACGAAGGCTTCCCAGCAGAACATTGCACTGTAATGAAACGATCACTTACCCACTAAGTGGTTGTAACTTTGTGGCTGATCATGTACCTCCCAGTGCAGGATATAATTTGCAAACGTCACCTTAAAAGGTCATTTAAATACTTTGCACCGTGTTGTAATATTAGAGTGCCCTTTACAAGGTCCAAACTGAGCTGCCTGTGATGGAACTGGTTTTGGAAAAATCCCCAAAATGGCACGCTGGAGTGAGTGCACCGCTCACAGGCCAGCTCCAGTAATAACTTGTGCAGGCTCTTGTTGTCCCAATGGCTGTTTAGGTTCCACGGAATTAGCAACTGCCCCGCATCCATCTGAGGAGTTGGGCATGGTAGGAGGACAAAAGGGGATGTACCGGAACCAGGAGGAAGAACACAGATGAGAGTTGATGCCAAAGGGAAGGCTGTAGACTTTTCCGCTTTCCAGTGTGTTGCTGGAGTCATCCTCATGAGCCTTGTTCCAGGCAAGGATACCTCGTTCATGCTTCGATCCTGTTGGACATGTTCAATGTTTTTAAAAAAAACTGACTCTGGATTATCTCTATTTCCTGATTTGGTTTGTTTATCATAAATGTTGACAACACTGTGTCCCGGGATTATGATTCTCTAATAGAATATTTCTAAAACATTGTTCTTTTAAATTTAGCTGAAGTGAAAGACACTAATGAAAGGTTAAAAAATGTTACTTATTTTGCTGTTTTCATTTTTAAAGTCCTGTGAAAGAGAAAGTAGACCCTCGCTACAATGACAATGATAATGATCCCAAGCACGCCACCAAATCTAAACCAGAATAGGTTAAAAAAAAAATCAAGGTGTTGTAAAGACCCATCAAACTTTAGAGCTTGAGCAGATTGAAATTCAGTGCTCCCTTACAGTCAGACCATAAGAGGGCTGTGCATAAACAAATACCTGCAAACCTCAATAATCTCAAGCAATGCCGTAGAGGAGAGTGGGTCAACATTCCTCCACAATGATGAGGGTGAGAAAGGAAATGATTATTTCACCTCGGAGTTCTCATAGTCCTCACTGTAGAGTCATAGAGTCTTGTGTAAACTTTCTTTTTCACATTACTTTTCATTCTGACCCTTTCTTAATTAATTGAATAATCACTAAACTAAATGAATATGTCCACAATACAGTTTCATTAAATTGCCATGTTTATCATAACCTCAGCTCTGTGCTTCAGTGTTTTAAACATGGTGAACTAAATACATGCAGAACAGTAACAAAGCGCAATACCTGGAACGGTGTTGTCCAGTATGAAACCAAAGAAGCCACCGACAAACATGCTGGTTGTCAGAAGTACCTGTAGGACCTGATCAAGTTCTACCACACCTGGACACAATGTAAACAGTTAGACCTGTGTTTAAATGATCAGGTTTTTTGGAAAAAATTCTAAGATTAGTAAAGATTTTCTGTCCACCTGTAGAAATAGCTTTGGAATTCTTCAATATCCAATTTGGAATAACCAGACCAGTGAACATGGAGAAGCCGAAAATGAAGATGTTTCGAGACGAGTTCATGTCTGCGTACTGAAAATGTGACCCAGAAACAAAGTCTAGTTAAAACCAACTCAAATCAAAAGAAGAAAATGTGCCGACACGTTTGAGCTTCAGGACAAACCTGCAGATTTGAAACTCCGGCTGCAGAGATGACACCAAACATAACCATGAACATTCCTCCTATGACAGGTGACGGGATAGTGGTGAATATAGCGCCCACTTTACCAAATATACCCATGACAACCATCAGCACTCCGCTGGCCACAATCACCATCCGACTGCCCACCTGCAAAAAATAGAAATTCTCTCAGTTTTCCTGAGATCTGAGTGCACTAAAATTTGTGCTTAAAATGCCAAATTTAAGGGAGGAAAAGAACTAACAATGCAAAAAACTGCACAAAACGCCAAAAAATCCAAACAGTAGCAAAAACTTCATAAAAGAGCAGGTCAGCTCACCTTTGTGATACCAAGGGCTCCGACATTTTCGCTGTATGAGGTGGTACCATTTCCAGTACCCCAGGCACCTGCCAACAGGCAGCCTATCCCCTCAATACCGATACCCCTGTTGATGGCATGTTTTGGGGGTGGTGGAGCTCCAGATAACCTAGCACAGGCGTGGTAGTCTCCAACAGACTCTATCATAGAGGAAATTACACCAGCCAAGATGCCAATCACCCCTGCAAGGCTGACAGTAGGTCTCCCCCATTGTCCTAATTTTGGAAACGCAAGCAAGTTGAAAATGTCACAAATGCATAATCTGCAAAATATTATTCTGAAAATAAGATAACTTTGATGACTCTGTGAGTTTCTTCCAACACATCACTGAGCCACACTGTGGTACTGGATGATATTCCTCGTCATTACAAAGAAATGTGGGTGGAAACAATGATCCCATTCAGTCTGAGTTTAGTTAAAAGTCAGAAACAAAGAAAATGACCAAAGTTGTTTTAACGGAGCTTTTCTATCTTACCTGGGTACGGGAAAACCAGCCAGGGAGCCTGACTCATGACATCTCCCTTTAGATCGGTGCGTGCAAGGTAACCATACTTGTCTGGTTCAGCAGGAAGTACATTGTAGACAGTCAAAATGTAACAAATGGTCCAAGATAACGTGATTCCAAGCAAAACCTTGTGATGCATTAAAACAAAAACACCTTGTTATCTGTTTTGTTTGGCTTTAATATTAAAAAATTAATAGAAAAAAAGAAAAGACTCAATGTCTTCAACATACAGGAAGAATCTGAAAGACGTAGACTGGAGAGGTGTGCAGTCTTTTATCCTTGTTATATGCTGGAAAGGGCACTGGTATGTGACGGAGGTACTGCGAGAACAGGATGATGAGTGCTGTGGTCCTGTGTGACACAGACATAAAGGGGAAAAACATCGTGTAAATATTGCTGAGATGTAATGAAGAAAAAGGAAAGTAGATCAGCTGTACTGGATGTTGGGCAAGAAAGTTTTAATAGGCTTTTCTCTGCAGCCTTAAGATTAAAGCTTTACTGGGTTGAAGGCGTATTATTTTCTAAAGTCTTGCCCAGGCAGGACTGGGAGCACGCTTAACGTAACCTAACACACATTTTATTGAGAAACCTGCTTTAAGGTGGCATGAAATATTTTCTAGACAAATCTCTCTGGCAGTCTTTAAATATTCATTTTGTCATTTTTATGTTATGTAGAGAAATGGGGCCTTTTTTAGGGACTTTATTTAGAAATTTTACCCACATTGCAGAGATGCCCCAGTGGTTCCCAGCACTGCTACCCGCTGAGTCAAAGAGGGACAGTCCAATGAGAGAAATAGTAGGAGCGATGGTGAGAGGCCCAATGAAGCGCATGAAGAGGCCAATGAGGCCTGAAAAACCAACCAGCACTTGGAAGACTGATCCCACAATAATGGATCCCTGAAGCTTAAGAAAACACAAAAATGTTGACAGTCAGAATTTGGAATTCGTAACCTCATTAACTTTTTTGTACTAAAAAACATTTCTGTTGTTATTTGCTGGCAAACATTTCCATTGCCGGTCAGTGTTAGACTTTTGGGATAAAATTCTATCTGCCTCACCCTTAAGTGTTTCTGTTTAACAGGACATGTACAAGTCTATAAGCCAGGAGCTGCAACCTCCACCAGAGGGTTCCAGTCTGTGGCTCGGCATCATGCATGAACTTGAAGGCTTCCAGCATAGGCACTAGGACCACTACAGACGCTAATCTGAAATCTTTGTGCCTCCCTGGAAGCACTTTTTTTTTAACAAGCTCAACTAGTTTGCAGTTGGAGAGAACAAGTCAGACGGGTTTTTAGAAAAATGTAACCAAAAATGGGATCAAAGTGCTGAAGGTTCAGACTGTCACAGTTTACTTACTGCTCTCATTCGACTTTGCCACACTTCTATGAAGTGTGTGGACGAGGTGTTGACTAGGCTGGCATTTTGAGTCCATGCAGGACACGTCCACTCTGGCATGGAGAGCAGTGCCATGGAAGGAGCCAGTAATGTGAATGTGCCACCTTGGAGAATCGGCAGCCTGGAAATAATGAACACAATACGAGAGAGCAAACCATCAGTTACTGTATCTTTGGGTGATTGAAACGCTTAGACTGACTGAGACAGTGTCTTCTGTGCATGCATGTGTTTTTTAAGACCTCTCTGACGGCATCTGCAGTCTATTTATTTGAATCATGTACAAGGAAATGGTTAATTTAAACCATGTGAAGAGAGTGTGACTTGTTATGCAAACTGTTAGACTGAAAGTTAAGTCAGTTAAAATAATCTGCTACGTAATGACCCTCATTATGCTATCCTCATAAGCAGTGCATCATTCACACACGTCGCAGAAGAAGAGAAGTTTTCTTGTGAAAAACAAAACATGCAAACATTTCTTTTGATGAAACATCGGAAAGTTTTCGTTGTGTCGTCGGGACGCTAAAAGCACCACTAAGTGCGAGGCTTGTTTTCCCTCACAGCTGACTTGCAGACATTTTGGGAAAGACAAGAAAGCATGAGTGGTGCTAAGCCAGAACAATGTGGACTTAGCAGGAAGTAGATTCCAAACATAATAAGATAGAAATTCCTCCGTTAATCCATCTGTGACACCAGTATTCAGGCAGGCTGAGTCTGCAACCACAT